CCTGGGCTTCCCGGGCCACCTCAGCGGTGCTCTGGTGTCACACCCCACTGTGCAAATGCCCGGGTGCATCCCGTGCTGGCCACATGCCAGGTGCACACCGTAACTTCTCCCGCACCCTCTCCCGACCTCCTCTCTTCTCATCATACGTGTGATGTTTCTCTTGGACTGACCCTGAGTCATGCCCAGTTCCCAGGGGCCTGCCTGTGGCTGCGGTCCAAGCCCAGCATGCTAAGAGAGGGGCTTGGGGGATAAAGCCCAGCCCGGTCCGTACCACGCGTGTGTCCCTGATGCTGGCTGGAGCCACACACACTTCTCAGGCTCCCTGGATGCACCGGGCCAGCGTGACCCCAGCTGAGGGCCACAGAGTCAGCTCGGGAGCCACACGGGCTGCTGGTTTGGGGTCACGTCTCCCTGCTCACAATGAGAGATAGACCTGATTCACACCAGCCCCTGCCTCAGGCTCCCCAGCCAGGCCTGCGGCCTCAGCTCCATCCCCAGGGACCCGAGCCTATGGCCCGGACACTCCCGAGATGTATTACAGATAAATGTCAGCCCTTGGCCTTTTCGAGTGTCCGGCCAGGGCCCATCCATCTGAAGACTGTTGATGTGTCTTCGGCAAAACTCGGGAGAAAAAAGCTCGCGCCAGCTGGGACTTCTGGGGCACCGCAGACCACCCGGGCAGGCTCCGGCTGCAAAACCACTTGCCGGCCGGGCACAGGACACGGAAAAACACTTGTACTGCTTTTTTTTTTCTTTTTTGGTTTTGGTTTGGGGCCATACCCTGCAGTGCTCAGGCAGGGTTCACTCCTGGTGGTGCCCGGGGGCCCTGTGGGGTACCAAAGATCAAACCCAGGTCAGCTGCGTGCAGGGCGGCTGCCCTCCGCACTGGCCTGTAGCTCCAGCCCCCGATTTCCCTTTACACCTTGGCCGCCAGGGGAAGTGCAGTGGGATTTGGTGCCCCGCCAGTGTGATTCATTCGCAAATTTGCAAACACGGGGCCTGGGCCTGGGCCACTTGCTCCCAGAATCTGGCTCCTGGCACACTGCTCAGCCACCTCTACCCGCGGGCCAGTGTCCGGAGAGACCCCAGAACCCTGGCAGGCCCACACTTCCCTCCTCCATCTGTGTCCCTCCGGAACTGGGGTAATGATCTGCTGCCGGATGTACCAGGGACCCTGCCCTGGGCACAGCCCTTTGCCCCTGGAGCCCCCAAACCCATCTCCTTGAAGGGTACAGACGCGCGGGCTGGAAACCCGAGGCTTCCCGGGGTTGCTGGAAAGCGGAGCACGTGGTGTGACGGCAGCTGGGCGCCTGGCTCGGGACTGTGGCAGGCAGGCTGGCAGGCACCCTGGCTTTCCTGGAGGAAGACTCCTCTCCCCAGGTGCCCACAGCGGGCATGTCCTGGCACCCTTTCCAGGAGCTGCACCTGACTGCTGGCCCCGGGTACGGCCTGCTGGGACATGCCCGCAGGACGCAATGCCGGGAAGCCTGGCCGGGGGGCCGCCCTGCCCACACTGGCCCAGCACGGCAGCCCCACCCAGGGGCCCTGCCACCAAGCCCAGATCCTGGTGCCAAGGGATGGTGGCAGGGCTAAGGGTCGGTGCGTGGGCAGCTCAGGCAGGGGCTAGGGGGAGGTTGGCCCAATGCTGCTGCCCAGGCCCAAGATTTCCCCCCACCTTCATCCTTGGCTTCTCTTTACAGGCCCCTCTCCTTCTCTCACCCTCCCCCTCCCTCTCCCTGTCACGTCCCCTCTCCCTAAGGACTCGGAGCCACCACCAGCCACCACCACACTTTCTCCCAGACTGAGCTGATCAATGTGCACCAGAACGCCCTCCTTTGTTTTACAGAACATATTTCTGTGGGTACATCCCTCCTTTGTGTGTTATTCCTGGTCCCTCCGGGACCCCACTACAGATCACTCTGGAGTCTAGGACTCCTGTCCGCCAAAACTCACCCCTTTGCAATCCTTTCCCGCCCTCCTCCTTACGATGGCCAGGGTACTGCCGGCAAAAGGCTGCCCCGTGCCAGCAGGGAGCACGGGAGGGCACCCAAGACAGAGGCAACGCTGGGAACTCACTGCAGGACAGGACACTGTGCAGATGGGCTGCAGTGGGGAGGCCCTCACCTGGCTAGGCCCGGTATTCGGTCACCCCGATAAAGCTCTCCCCTTCCTCCCAGATCCAGTCAGGCCGAATAGCATGAATTCCTTGGAGTTTTGTTTTTGGGGGAACACCCAGCAGTGTTCAGAGATTATTCCCACCTCTGCACTCAGGAATCACTCCTGGCAGTGTTGGGGGCGCTGATATGGGATGCCAGGGATCGAACCTGGGTCGGCCACATGCGAGGCAAGCTCCTCACCCGCTCTACCATCGCTCTGCCCCCAACCCCATGACACGAATTCTATGAGATGAACTGGCCGAGTATCTGCTAGTGATTGTCCTTTCTTTCGTCAGACATGCATTTTTTTATACCATCTTCTAGAAAAATGTGCATTTGCAAAACTTGTCTTTGCCCAATCTCAAATGTCCAGAATCCTTCCGGGTCAAATCCTCCGTGTGTGTGTGTGTGTGTGTGTGTGTGTGTGTGTGTGTGGTGGGGAGGGGAGGGCATCTGGTGGGGGCGGGGCATAGCTTCTGTGGTTGTCAGATGTGCAGGGACAAGCTGCTGAAGTGGCCCTCCTGGATCCGTGGGTGTGGAGGGGAGTGGGGTACTGGCCACTGGCCACTCTGCGGGAGGCCCATGTTCCAGGACACTGCCCGCTCCCTGGGCTGCTCTGTCTCAACACTGCTCGGGGTCCGACCCCCATCCATAGAAGGCCTGCTTACTGGCCAGAGGGGTGGCACCCAGGGCTGTGGAGGAGTGGGATGGGGTCCCCAGCATGGCACAGTCCTGCCAAGCCCCACCAGGTCTGTGTCCAACTGAAAAAACAAAATTCCTAAACACCTGTTGACAGCAGCCCTCGCCCTCCCCCAGCCCCCGCCTCGAGGCTTTAAAGGGTTTTTCTAAAGGGCCAAAGGGAGGGGTCTCAGAGTTGCTCAGGTCGGTGGTGCACAAGGGGTGGGGGTCACGGGGACCAGGCCTCAAAGCCAGGGCTCGCTCATGGCAGTCCTGTGCTTGGCCAGCTGACCCAGGCCTGTGCTGCTTCCCGGGAGCAGAAAGGCCCACCTCTCCTTTAGTAAGTGCGGGACCTTGGCGGGGGGCCCCGATTCTCAGGGATCTTGAGGGTACATGGAATGGAATGAACGTGCCCTTCCCGCACAGGTGTTGGTGTTTGAAAATGACATAAAGGGCTGGAGCTTGCCTTGTGTGCAGCAGGCAGGACCAGGTTCCATCTCCGGCACCCCTTAGGGTCCCCCGAGCACAGCCAGGAGTGATTCCTGAGGGCACAGCCAGGAGTCAGCCCTGAGCGTCGCCGGGTGTGACCCAAAAACAAACCAAAAGCAGCTGAAGTGAGTGGTGGCAGGAGAGATAGGGAGGGTCAAGTGGTGGCCATGGGTGCAGTTCTAGCCCCAGTGCCAAGAGGCCGTCGCACACGGCCAGCGGTCAGCCCTGAACACACTGGGTGTCCTCCACTCACACACGCCCCTGTTAATTAACCGGGAGCCCCCATACTCCGAGAGTATGGGAGTCAGGGAGGCCTGAGGAGTAGGGAAGGTTCTGGATGTGAAGAGTCACGCTCCCTGGGGTGGGTCAGGCCGAAGACACAGAGCCTGGGGGAGTCACAGAGCTCCAGGCCAGCCTCTTCCCAGCGCGGTGATCTCAGGCACCTCTGGTCTACCCTCTGAGCCTCAGTTTCTCTACCTGTGCAGTGGGACAATGACATTAGGGTCATAAGGTCCTAAAGGACACCAGAGCTGCCCGGGAGTGGCAGAACCCTGCAAGGAGGGGGTGGTGATAGGGGACTGGGTCTTGGGGCACTTTCTGGCACTTCCTAAGCCTCAAGGCTGCAGCCAGCAAAACGCAGCCCCACCGGGGGCTGCCAGAGAGATAGTACAGCAGGTCGCGGCTGGCCTTGCCTGCTGCAGACCCAGGTGCAATCCCGGTACCCCATAGTATCCCCTGAGCATCGGCGGGGAGTGACCCCTGAGCACAGCCAGCGGGTGTACCCCCGCCCACCCCAAAATACAGCCCTGGAAATCCAGGACCTCCCGGACTTCCCCTCCTCGTTGCGATCTGGGTCGGGAGAGGGTCTGGGAGGAGCGAGAGTCTGAAGACTCGGGTGGGCAACGGGAATGAACGCATGAACGATGCCCGTCAGCTCCCGCGCCGGGAGTGCCCCCCAGCTCCCGGGAGAGCTGATGGGTGCTGGCCTCGGGGTCCCGGGCTGCCCCCGCGTTCACCCCTGGCTCGCCGCCTCCCGCGCTCCCCGCGCGGTGCTGAGGCTCTGGCGCTGCTGCTATTTCTGGCTCCACCTCGGGCGGGCCCGCGGCTGTGCCCAATACATATTTTAATAGCTTCCCGCTCCGCCACCTCCGGGCGGCGGCCGGCGGCCCGGGCACTTGACCCGGGCTGGCCCGTCGGGGCCCCGCGCGCGGCCCACTGACCGCGGTGACCTTCTTCGCCCGGGGCGCGGAGGGGCCCCCCACCCACGGGCGAGGGCCCCGCACGCCCGGCGGCCGGCTGGCGGGGAGCCGGGGACCAGCCCGCGGGCGGCCCGGGGCGCGGGCGCGGGCAGCGCGGGCAGCGCGGGCAGCGGGCAGCGCCCTCCCGCCGGCCGCCCGGTGCAAACTTTCAAAAGATGCGGCGGCCGCGGCCCCGCCCCGCGCGGCGCGGTTGGAGGCGGCGGGCGGCGGGGGCGGAGCCCGAGGCCCGGGCCCGGTGGCTCCGCCTCCTCCCGGCGGCTGCCCAGCTGCCGCCCGCCGCCGCCGCTTCGCCCGCCCGTGCGGCGCGATGCCCCCGCGCCCGGCCCCGGCGCCCGCGCCCGCGCCCGCGCCGCCCGCCGCCGCCTAGGCTCCGTGCGCCCCGCGCGCCCCGCGCGCCCCGCGCGCCCCGCACGCCGCCGCCGCCGCCGCCGCCGCGATGGGCAACACGGTGCACCGGACCCTGCCAGGTACGCCGGGCGCTCGGCGGCTGCCCTCGCCCCCGGGGCGGAATCGGGGCGCCCGGGGTGGGGGGGCTTCCGCGGAGAGCCACCGGCCCCGCTCTGCAGCCCCCCACCGCACCCCGGGCGCGCGGCGCGCTGGAGAGCCCCGTGCCTCCCCGGCCTGGGCTCGGCGCTCGGGCAGGGCGGGCACCGCGTCCTGGTTACCTGGGGGACCCCCGTCCTAGCTCCCCCGGGCTGCGGCCAGATGCGCCCAGGGGTGATGCCGCGCGACCCCCCCCACCACCACCACCCCGCCTTTGTTCCAGTCCGGGGGCGCGATCGAGGAGCCCGGGTTGGGGGGCCCTGCGGGGTGGGGGAGCAGGGGTGACCGAGGAGCTCCCCCGGGGGCTTTCAGCAGCCTGATGCCGCCTGTTGTGGGGATGACAAGGCTGCAGCTGCTGAGCTGAGCGTGCGCGCGTGTGTGTGTGTGTGTGAGCGCGCGTGTGTGTGTTGGATGAGGGTGCTTGCAGGGGCACCCCGCTTGCCAGCCACCCAGTGCCCCCATGGTACATGCTGCTCGATTTCGGCTCCCCCACCCCGGGTTCGCTTCCACACCCTGTGTCCGTTCGTTGCCCCCCCCCAGGAAGTGTTCACCCCAGAGAGCATCGCCCCCTGGTTGGAGGCACCCCAGAATTTCCAGGGCTGGAGTATACGGGGTCCGGAGAAGGAGGGGAGTGGGATGGAAGTAAAAGAAGGTCTTTACCAGAAAACGCCGGTAGCCGTGGGAACAGATGGGATCTGACACGCCCCCCCCCCCTTGCATTACCTGGTTGTCCAGTTTGGCTGCAAAATGTGTGCCCCGGTTTTACAAATGAAGAAACTGAGGCGGGGAGGGGTGCAAATAACTCTCCCAGGGTGATAGCTCTGGTGGGCAAGTCTGTGCGACTGCCCACCCCTCCCCCCCCGCACCCCTAGGCTCCTGGAGGGTGGCTTTTGTGTCTTCCTGTGGGGAGAGGCTGGGAGGTGTGTGGTGTCCTCGTTCCGAGGGCCAGATCAGAGGGAAAGGCAGTGGGGGCCGTGGGGGCAGCTCTCTGGTCTCTGCTGTGATTCACGCCCCCCCTCAAGAAAAAAAACAAACCCTGAGGGGCTTCAGATCCAACATTCAGAGTTCTGGCCCCTCTGGGCTGTGATTGGGTGGTCCCAGCTAATAGCCGAGCAGCCTCCTGCTGTCCAAGCCTCCGGTGGCTTTGGGGCCCCACCCCACCGAATTCTGAGCGGGGAAGTCTCCAGCAAGTGGTGGTGGTGGGGGGGGGGGGGGGTTTCAGTCCAGCCAGTCAGTGGCAACTATGAGATTCCAACCCCGGGGGGGCTTCCAGGGGGAGGCGCCCACCTCCTGCCCATGACACCTGGGGGAAAGGAAGCACCCAGATACCTGACCCGGATGTTGTAGCCGCTCCCACATCCCCAGACCCAGGCTCTCTAGAATCTCCCCAAGGAGTGTTCTCTGTGCTCCCTGGGGGCAGGTAGAGGGCTCATACAGGCAGGGAGTGGGGCTCTCTCTAGTCCCCACCCGCTGGACCTGCTGCCCCTGGGCTGGGAGGCTGGGCCCAGGTCCGGCACCCCGCTGTCGAATCCCAGGGTGGGCTTCGCTGCTCTGGGCTGAGGTTTGCTTCCAGGTTGAGGAAGGGGCAGAGCTGGCATTCCCGAGCGACAGCAGGTGACAGGCGCCCGGAAAACGCAGGACCGCGTGCTGTAATTAAAGCCTGCCCTTTGATTCCACCCCCATGCTCAGCGTGCGATGCCACCCCCCCACCCCGAGGGGGTGGGCAGCGTGGATTCTCTTTCCTGCCCTACCTTTCCCAAAGCCAGCTTCGAGGCCCCCCTCCTCCAGGACGCCTTCCCTGACCACCCACACCCCATTCCGTCGTCGTCGTCGGCTCAGCCACCTCGATCCCTTCTAAAGTTTCTGCTCATTCGTCGGACCACATTGCCTCGTCATCACCCCCGCTCCGCGCCTTGCCTCAGGGCTGCCTGAGGACAGAGCCTGCGCCTTGATCGTCTTGTATCCATGGTTGCCCGGCCCGGAGCCTGGTGCCTGGCAGGCGCTCAGAACCCGGTGGTGGCGCTCACACGTCGCCTGAATCGCGGCTGAAAGAACACTTGGCTCAGCCTGGCCCTGTCAGAGCCGGGTGCTGTGGCGCTCAGGAAAGCACATATGCGTGGGGTTCCTTCCCGGGCCTTGAAATAGAGAGCTCGCCTTTGCCAAGCACCTGGACTCCGTGCCAGCCTGCCTGCATATGTGGCCTCATTTACATGCCAAACACGCGTCTCCCCAAGGCTCCTGCATCGGCTGCGCCCTCCGCCTGGAACATCCTTCCCCCGGCCCTCCGCGTGGCCTCCCCCTCGTCTTCGCCAGGTCTTCCTGCAGGTCTCTCCCGCCCGAGTCCCGTCCTGAGCACGCCGCCACCCCGCACCCGCCCGCTGCCCCTCTGGTGGCGGGTTCCCGGGGGGCTCCCCGCCACCAGGGTGGATTTTGCCTGCTGGATTCGCTCCTGTCTGGTGAGCACCAGAGCAGCGTCTGCACACAAAGGCGGTGCAGGTGGACGATTGACCGCGCGGCCACCGCCCTACAAGGCAGGGGCTGCCCAGAGGCGGACACCCGCCTTCTGCTGGCAGAACCAGGCCCGAGAGCAGGGTCCACCGAGCTCCACAGTCCCCGGGCCCTGCACTGATGCAGACGCCTCCGCAGTCCGGTTCCAGATAACATCTATGGGGCGCCCCGCGCACACGTGCACGGTCGTGTGTTCAATGAGGAAGTGCCAGAGAAAGGGGAGGAGCCGCGGGAGCACACAGGAGATGACCGTGCAGGTGTATGTGGTGCGTGTGTGCATGCGTGTGTGTGTGTGTTTGCATGTGTGTGCATGCGTGTGTGTGTGTGTGTGCGCTAGGGCGCACACACACTTATCCTTAAGAGAAAGAGGAGGGGAGGGCAGGCATCTCCGCCCGTTCTCACGCTCGTAAGCTTCCCACTGTGCCCGCACACGCGCGCACGTGTCTGTTTTCCTTCCAGCTTGCACGCTCTCTCCTCTCTCGCGAGAAGGTGCCCGTTCTCCTCCGCATGACACACAGGGGCACAGGGAGGCCAAGGCACTTGCCTCGACTCACAGCCAGGCAGCGCTGAGCTGCACTTAGAGACCCAGGTCTGCCTTCTGCTGTCTATCCCGGATATCCGTGTCGACTTTGTTTTTGGTTTTAGTGTTAGATGTGGGGGCCACACCTGACGGTGCTCAGGGCTTACTCCTGCCTCTGCACTCAGGGATCAATCCTGGAGGGACTCAGGGGACCATATGGGACACTGGTGTTGGGGGGGGGGGGGGGTCGGTCAAACCCAGGTTGGCTGCGTGCAAGGCAGATGCCCTCCCCCCACCGTCTCTGATCACTCCGGCCCCACACGTCTGTCTCCTCGTGCCTGGCTTCCGTGAACTTGAATATGGACTGGGGGTGGGGCTATTATTTATTTTGGTTTGGGGGCCACCCCTGGTTGTGCCTGAGACTGAGACTGCTCACAGATCAGTGCTCAGGTGTTGCTCCACATGGTGCCCGGGGACCATGTGATCCCAGGGATCAAGCCTGGGGCCCCCCATCCCCCACATGCCAAGCTTGCGATGCGTGCACTGCCCCTGAGTCCTCACTCCGGTCCGGTCCTTAATCTGGATTTTGAAAGCGGACAGGGGTCGGGGTTAGGAAGGAGATGAGGGAGGACCGGCTTCCAGTAGGGGAGAGGGGAGCAGGCAGGGGCCGGGGGGGAGGGGTGGGTTGGGGAGGAGAAACCCTTTCCTGCCCCTGCCAGGAGTGCTGGCGCTCGCTCACTCGCCCGCCACCCGCCGCAGTTCTGGCGGGAGAAGAGGCGCCGTTCAAACTGGACGTTGGGTTTAATGATTAAGTGGCCCTGGCTTGGCCGAGCCCCTGGCTCTTTCCCCTGCCCGCTGGGGCAGCCCCTGAGGTGGCGGGGGTGCGGGGTGCTGCCGGGTGCCAGGCCCCGAGGGGCGTGCCGAACACCGTCCCCTGTTGGTTGCAAATCCTCAGAGCCATCCCTCCTTTGGGGGTGCTCAGTGCCCCCCCCCCGCATTTCACAGGGAGACTCTGCGAGGTGGGGGGGGCACGGGCACACGGGGCAGGGGGGCTCTGAGTGCAGCACCAAGTGTCCCGGCCCAGAGGGAGGGGGTCAGAGGCGCGGCCCCGGCCACGGGAGCAGTGGGCAAGGGGTGCTCCCAGGACCTGCCCCCACTCCTGTTTTTCCTTTCTGACTTTGGGGCCGTTCCCGGTGGGGCTCAGGGGTGCATCCAGGGCTGAAGCCCTCCGAGGGTCTTCCCGGCACCTGGTCCCTCCCACTCCTGGCCTGTCTATCTCCTGCAGCAGCTCCTGAGGGGTCACTTTTACAGCCGCCACTTGAGGAGGGCCCGCAGCAGGCCGTCTCATCCCGTCCCGGGGGCAGCTTCCCCCACAGCCCTGAAACCTCCAGGCTGTCAGCGCCAGTGGGGGGCAGGGAGCCCCGGAGCCCCAGGAACCGGGCCTTCCTCTGTGGACCCCTTCTTCCTGCGCCCGCTGCCGCCCCCTGCTGGAAAGGTGGGAGCTGGGCGAGGTGGGGCTGGGAGAGCTGGGAGGTCTTCCTGGAGAAGGGAGGCATCGTCGCGTGCAGGCAGGTCCTTCCCCACTCCCCTGGCCCCCACCCGCTTGTAGGGCCTCCTGTGCCTCTCAGGGACTCCAGGGCCTCCCTGATGCCAGGGTGACCAGGCCGGGGTTGGCTCTGCTCTGCTCTGCTCTGCTCTGCTCTGTCCGCCGTTGCCTTCTGTTCTGGTACCTGACGTCGCGGGGGCCTGCCTGCTGCCCCACCCTGGGTGCCTTCCAGCGCGGGTGCAGCCCTCGAGAGGCAGGCTGGCAGGGAACATTCTGGTAGGACAGGGTGGGCCCCAGGTGTGATGGGCCAGGGTGGCACCGTGCCCCCCAGCACGGCCTGGTGACGGCAC